TAGACGTATATATGTATATATACGTATACATACATGTATGTATATATATATATATATATATATATATATATATATATATATATATATATATATATATAATACATAAATATATAAATACATAAATATATAAATATATAAATACATAAATACATAAATACATAAATATATAAATATATAAATATATACATATTTACATATATACATATATACATATATACATATATACATATATACATATATACATATATACATATATACATATATACATATATACATATATACATGTGTATATATGTGTATATATGTGTATATATGTATATTTATATACATGTATGTATATTTATATACATGTATGTATGTTTATATACATGTATGTATGTTTATATACATGTATGTATGTTTATATACATGTATGTATGCTTATTTACATGTATGTATGTTTATATACATGTATGTATGTTTATATACATGTATGTATGTTTATATACATGTATGTATGTTTATATACATGTATGTATGTTTATATACATGTATGTATGTTTATATATGTATGTTTTATAACATGTATGTATGTTTGATATACATGTATGTATGTTTATATAACATGATGTATGTTTATATACATGTATGTATGTTTATATACATGTATGTAGTTTATATACATGTTGTATGTTTATATACATGTATGTATTTTATATACATGTATGTATGTTTATATACATGTATGTATGTTTGATATACATGTATGTATGTTTATATAATGTATGTATGTTATATACATGTATTGTATGTTTATTACATGTATGTATGTTTATATACATGTATGTATGTTATATACATGTATGTATGTTATATACATGTATGTATGTTATATACAGTATGTATGTTTATATACATGTATGTAATGTTTATATACATGTATGTATATTTATATACATGTATGTATGTGTATATACATGTATGTATGTTTAATACATGTATGTATGTTTTATACATGTATGTATGTTTTATACATGTATGTATGTTTATTACATGTATGTATGTTTATATACATGTGTGTATGTTTATATACATGTATGTATGTTTATATACATGTATGTATGTTTATATACATGTATGTATGTTTATATACATGTATGTATGTTTATATACATGTATGTATGTTTATATACATGTATGTATGTTTATATACATGTATGTATGTTTATATACATGTATGTATGTTTATATACATGTATGTATGTTTATATACATGTATGTATGTTTATATACATGTATGTATATTTATATACATGTATGTATATTTATATACATGTATGTATATTTATATACATGTATGTATATTTATATACATGTATGTATATTTATATACATGTATGTATATTTATATACATGTATGTATATTTATATACATGTACGTATATATATATATGTATAATTATATACATGTATGTATATATATATATGTATATTTTTATACATGTATGTATATATATATATGTATATTTATATACATGTATGTATATATATATATGTATATTTATATACATGTATGTATATATATATGTATGTATATATATATATATGTATATTTATATACATGTATGTATGTATGTATGTATGTATGTATGTATGTATGTATGTATGTGTGTGTGTGTGTGTGTAAGAGTTAATATAAGGTCCTCTCTAAACATTGGTGACAGGGAGTAGTAAAAGCTTGGTGGCTTAAAACCCTTTATTGATAGGAGTTACCACACGAGTTGATAACACAATGATGACACTTGGGTATCGTGCGGTCAGCTGGGAGGGGACGGTCAGCCCTGACCTGAGCCGGACAGGCACTGACCTTGGGTCAGCCAGCAGCAGGCACACTCTAACTGACAGGGGTCAACCTTGGAGAATAAGTAGCGGCGACCACCAGAAGCAGGGGCGGAGCCACCAGCTGGAGTATGGCGGCATGGCTATGCAGGCGCGGCTAATGAAACTGCCACGTGGTCGCCCACGTGGTATGCATACAGTGTATTGTATATTGCTCGGCCACTTACTCACGGATCGTCCTCGAGGCGATCTAGACTTCCTCAAGGGTAATCTGGGAATCTGTTCGTTCTCGACATCCTCATGTCCTCGACTGGTCTCGCGCAGGTCCTTGACTAGACATCCTCGTAGTCCGCATACAGGTCAAACTCAGCGGCTTATTCGCCCAATGCACGTCTCACAGATCTCCGTCCAGGTCCTTCTCGGCAGTGCGCTTGTACAGACGTCCTCGTAATCTTCGTCAGGATCTACGGGCGTCCGGTAGGAAGCGTCCTCTTCGACATCGTGGGGCGGCTGATACCTGCACTAATGAGCTCCTGGAGTTTGACTGGGTTTGCGGCATCCAGGCAGGCCCGTCTACAGCATCATAGGACGGCGAACCCCTACTGGCGAGCTCCTGCTTCCGCTGGTTCTCGGGTGTCCTGGCGAGCAGCGATCTCCGATGACGTTCTCTGATGGCTTCCGA